GACTGTTGTTTTGCGAGGCTGTGTGCTGGGTGGCCGTGACAGACTGCAGTATCTGGGCAAGTCATTGCAGAAGTTGAGTTGGCGGGGCGGCGATCGCTGTGGGAGGTTGGTACGTGGTGGCCGAGATCGCCAGTACCTGAGTAAGGAAAGTGTGTGTATGCACGAGTGGTTGCATGACCTGGGGCCATGATATGGGAGTAGAAGGATTGAGCACCTTCTTCCTTGTCTGTCTTCTATTTTGGAAGCTAAGTTCATGGCGAAGGGCCTATTGTTTCATTCAGGTCTACTAGAGTGCTCGCAACTAAGTTTGCCTGTCCTCTTCTTCGGTCGAGCTACGGCTCCGTCAACTCTTTTACTTTCTCTCTCTCTCTCTCTCTCTCTCTCTCTCTCTCTCTCTCTCTCTCTCTCTCTCTCTCTCTCTCACACACACACACACACACACACACACACACCTACACACACATTCTAATGAATGATTGATGGCGGAATATTGCATTTGCTTCTATCTGATTCTGAGTCCCCATCCAGGCAGTCTCTTTTAGATCAATCGGATCTCGCAGGGACGAGCATCTTCGAACTCGTGAGGTCGGTAAAGTAATGTCACCTTGTTCTTTTATTTTCCCTAATTCTTTTTTAGCACAATGAATGAGATGTGTACTTGATGAATAGTGTGCACGTGGGTCCCTGCCCAAACTCAAATTTTGATGCTAGGCATCTTCTTGCATGCACAAAATAAACTGTTGTTTTCATGATGAGGATATCACAAGATTTTGATTTGCTCAGGCATAAACTTTGCTCCCTTTCCTCTTTTTATGTATGAGTTGTGGCTGCGGCCGTGGGGTCATTTGTGGCCTGCGGCCGAGTTTGTGGCCGCAGCAGTGGACAATGGCCCTGAAGTCGCGGTCACGATTTTTACAGATTTTTCCCCGGTGAAATAAAACGTCCAAAAAAAAAGAAAAGAAGGGGTTGTACGATTTTTCGAGCCCTAGAACCACATTTTTTTTGGTATTTAAAAAAATAAAAATTCAAAAATTCAAAAAAAAACAAGGAAAAAAAAAAAAAGAACTAGGCTTCCAGAGTGGCCTGGGGTCTGGTCCCACCTACGGTTGTTGAGTTTAGAAAACTCAATGGTGTGACGCCATGTCGACATTAATAAATTCGAAACAACAAATAAAAGAACTGAAAAAAACGCCAGAACAGCTTTTCTCCTTATTTTTTATAACGTAACTGGGAGAAATGAAACATGTCTGTAACAGTCGGAGTGAACGTCTCCGTGAAAAAAGGATACTCCCCGAGGTGAGGGGACAGGAGGTCACCATTTGTAAAATGGACAGGGACCACGTGGATGGCCAAATGCATTCATTGCCCAAAGAAGGAAACGAGTTTGATGCCAGACAGCCAAACACAGCTGTCAGAGTTCCTCCGTTTCAGGATGCAACAAGGACTAAAAAAACAAAAAAAGGGAAAGGCACTGAAGTTGAGAAATGTACCCTACCCTCGGTAGGGTAGTTTTCTCAACGGAAAATGGCTTCCCGCCCAAACCAAAAGGCCCAACGCATACTACAAAACGGATTCACGTCAAAAAAAAAATCTAGAAAATGACTAAATCTAATAGGTTATTCTCCTGTATTTTGGTACCGTTAGATTCGCAATACATCAACGGCAGAGCTCCGTCCCACCATGCCATACGTGATAGAAAGCTCAGCGTTGAGAAAACTCAACGCTGTGGGTGGGACTAGACCCCAGGGTCCACTTGCCCGGCCGGTCCAAGAAGAGATAAAAAATAAAAAAATAAAATTAGTTTTTAAATATTAATTTAAAATTTTATTTTAAATTTGGTAAAGAATGTTGATGTGACATGTTTTCTTTTTTTTTTTTCTGTTTTTTCTTGTGTGTTTGTGTGAGTGTGAGTGTGA